AAAGTGCTTATTATCAATGAGGAATCCAGAAGAGTGGGAGATCAGTTTGTACTGAGCCAAATTCATCAAAAATGCCAACAAATAACTAGCCTGCAAGAATTTGTTGTGTGGGTGTGATGTGCCCAGTACTGAGACACCAAGGGCAGGCAGACCGTAAGAACGTGTGTTCTCTGAGCCTGAGCGCACAGTGGACCTGGACACTCGAGATTAACAGGCACTAGACAGGTCAACACAAGACGCTAAATATTTGCATCCTGATAACAGTCACAAACTGTCGTATTTGTAGAGCCTGCTACAGTTTGCAGAAACTCTCACAGGGTTACCTCATTTCAGTTTAGTAACGGACTGTGATATGCCCGGGGCGGGGTGGGGGTTTGCAAGCCCCTATTGCAGATGAGGAAAGCAAGGCAAATTGAGCCTCTTGGACTTGGCCAGAGCCAGGGGTCTTCCGATTCCAAAGCCATCATCTGTCATTCTCACAAGTAACGTGGTAGATGTGGAAGGTCCTGGGAGGAGGCAGTGTTTGAACTTCATTCCGAAGCTGGCTTCTGGTCACTGCTCTTGGCTAGTCAGGAGGAGCAGGGGAGGAGGAGAAAATCTTTACTGCTGTTGTCTTACTTTTGCATTCAGGAGTCTGGTATGTGAGACGTGGAGAGAAACCCCAATTATGATGAATTCTGTAAAAATGTCGAGAAGGGGCACTCAAATATAGAACCTGATTTAGAAAAATTTCCATCCCTGCCTTCCTTTATCATTTTTCTTTCTCTTTTATCATTTCTTTGTGGGCAAGAGGGTCTTGCTCTCTTTGGAACCCTGCAGAGGCTTGCCCCACGGTTTGCTTGGAGTAGATACCCTTTAAAATGATCTTTAATTGACAAGTGTTGAATGATAATGGCCCAACATTTGCTTTTAGCTAATAATGTTACAGATAAGCAGTTAATGTTGACAGCAGCTGGCTTCAGTGTGCTTGCTGAGGTCCCCCACGAATGAAAGCCTCCTGCTCATCAGCCAGAGCAGATCAACTGAGCTCATCTGAGCCTCCAGCAGATGCTTATCAATGTTGACTTAATGATTAACTTATGCAGTCATATATACCCTCTTTACAGTTACAAATATAACCCTCTTTCCATTTACAAAAATACACATATATCTTCTTTACATTTACATTACAAATACATTTACAAGGATTCATTCTGTAAGGACTGGAGTACTTACCTGGCATTACGGACTGTTAGGTGCTGGGTATTCTGCGGTAAAGGAAACAGGCACGAAGGGAGTGGGCAGTTACTGGGGAGACAGACATTAAACAAAGACGTGCAAACATTTAAGTAGGGCCAGGTGCTTCAAAGAACTTCCTGGGGGGAGAGGAACAAGGCTGGGGAGGGCACTAGGTTAGATGGGGGACCCAGGAAGACCTTTTTGAGAAAGGGACTTTCCATTCTGAGGGATGCACAGATGTTTATCCAGTGAAAAGTGGGAGAAGGAGGACCTTAGGACGTGGAAGGAGTGTGAGGGTTTGAAGGCAAGGACGCGCACGGAGACTTGGAGGAAATTCTGGAGAGCTGGGGTGGGGGGCTGGGAGGGGGCTGAGGAGGAGGGCAAGGACCGATCATGCTGTACCCTTTACACCAGCTTAGGGATCTTAGAGTTTATTTTGGGGGCTGTGGGAAGGAGCTCATGGATTTGTAGGGGGTGGGGAGTATCAGGAGCCAATTTACATTTCTGCAGGATGGCCCATGAAGACAGGGAAGAACAGATTGGAGAGGCTCAGGCATGGCAGTTGGGAGCCTTCTTAACTGGAGGATTAGAGAGTTGGGACCACATTGGACCGAGTGGAAACCAATGGGAGCTGAGGAAGTAGAGGCCACACTTGTACAGCTCGGCTCTGAAAGGGATCAGAGAGGGTGTGGGGATCTGCCCGTGTGTGTGGAACCCACACAGGGCCGAGGTCAGGGAGCTGAGTCCAGTCAACACGTCCACGTCTCTGTGCTTGGAGTCATATGGCGCTAGAGCTTCTAGAACAGAAGACATTGGAATCTTGGCTCTGGTTTTGTCTCTAACTGCTGGGGATATTTGAGTTTATCTCTTGTTCTTCTCTGTTTTTGTTTTTGTTCTTGTTTTCCTCACAGTCTGTTGATTGTATGATTTAAAAAAAAAAACAGGTAATCTGTCTATGAATATTTTTCTTCATAGTATCATTCACGTGTGTTAATTTGGATCATTTTTATAAATTGAACTAGGAGAGCTATGAGTGGGTATGTGGAACATTTGTGGTGAGATTCTAAGCATTTGCTCTTTGATGATTCCCAATACGCTGCTTTCGAATTGCCTTAAATGGAGAGACAGGAGTGATAAGCCTGGTGGTGTGGAGATGCGGAGCCACACGAAGCTACGTTGGGGTGAGGCCTGGTGGAGAGCCCTGGGTGCGGCTAAGCCAACTTTCTGCATCTCAGTGGAGTCCTTCCTTACCTGCCCTTCCTCATCCCATGAGACTTCCTCTTTATCCATAGACACTTATAAAAAGATGCAAGAGAGGTGCCTCTGGTCTGTCATCTGGGGACCCACGTTTGGCAGAATATAACGGCCTCTGTCATTGTCTCTGTCACTATCTCTTTCTCACTCAAATAAATGAATAAAATCTTCTTTTAAAATATTTTATTTATTTATGACAGAAAGAGATAGCGAAAGAAGGAACACAAGCAGGGGAAGCAGCAGGCAGAGGGAGAAGCAGGCTCTCCGCTGAGCAGGGGATCCCAGGACGCTGGGATCATGACCTGAGCCGAAGGCAGACCCTTAAGGACTGAGCCACCCAAGTGCCCCTAAGTGAATAAAATCTAAAAAAAAAAAAAAAAAAAAAGGAAAAAAAAGGAAAAAAAAAAAAAGAAAAAGGAAAAGGAATCTCCTTGCAGCTGTGTGGAATGAGAAGGTAGATAGGACCATAGGACTCAAAGTTACTCCAAAGATCATTTAAGACATTTGCTATTTCCTGAAGACTTCTTTCAGGAATGTGGACTTCTATCCTGGCAAATAATTATTGTGGTGAGATAAAACACGCCAGTAGACTAAAATGTGACGCTTGAATATGTCCACATTTTTTTTTTTTAAATTTTCATTCTTTTATGGACTGGTCGGGCTTTCTTAAACCCTGTCTGATACACACCAAGGTGAATCCGAGAGTATTTCCTAGCATTTACTTAAGGCAAAGAATTTCATTGGCCAGAGGGATGAGAGAACTTGGCAGCTAAAGACTGTGGTTGGTAGGTTTGATTGAGAGGAGGAGCCTGGGTTCTGGCAAAAAGTTATGTCAGCACTCTTGTCTTTGTGGTCAGTAAATCAGACCTCCTGGGGCACGGCTTTTCCCGCGGGTTTTTAAGATCCCGGTTTTCTAAGTGTGGTTCCTTCATGAGGCTGCTGACATCAGACCTCCTTCTCCCCTCCTCCTCTTGGTGATTAGACATCGCCTGGCCATGATTTAGCTCTGAGACTATTTCAGGGTTGAAACTTCTCCGCCTCCAGGCTAAAAGTATAAATGAAAAGTGTCATTATATGGCAGTGTCCTTCTGTCTGTCTATCTATCTATCTATCTATCTATAGCTTCTTTAAAAAAAGGATTTACTTATTTATTTTAGAGAGAAAGAGAAAGCATGAGCAGAAGGAGGGAGAGAATTGCCTTAAATGGAGAGACAGGAGTCTCTCAGGAGAGGGAGAGAGACTATCCAGCAGACTTCGCGCTGAGTGTGGAGCCGCATGGGGCTCTATCTCAGGACCCTGAGATCATGACCTGAGCTGAAATCAAGAGTCAGACAATCAACCGACTGGGCCACCCAGGTGCCCCTCTATCTATCACTGTTGTCAAAGAGTAAAAAGGTATCGATATCTCTTATCATCTCCTTAAATCACAATTCTATAGGGTAGGCTGTCTGGATATGCAAAAATGGGAATCTCATGGACGTTCATACTATGCCTGAGAACTTCACTTTTTATGCAGTTTCTTCAGACTTCTTGACCTAATTTGAAAGCAGATGTCACTGTGGTGCATCTTGGCAGTGATACGCACTGAGTTTTCTCCCAGCGCCCCCCAGACTTAAAATGCAGGCACTGGAGAGCATTTTGCCTTCTCATCTAGTGTCCTTTCAATGGCGCTTTGAAACAAAGAGGACAGGATGCAGTTCTGTAGTGTGGCCCTCAACTCTAATGGGTTTGCTTTCAGCTGTTTTCGACCAGTCACTCCTGTCAGCCACATCATTTAAAAGCACAGAAGCAAGCCCTGTTTTACAACCCTCTGTTTGTAAGTCAGTGTCAGCAGCTCAGAAATAAATCCCACTGAGGCATTATTAGATATTGGGGTTAGGTTTTAGAATACGTGCAAATGCAGAGGTATGTCATAGGAGTGGCAAGCTAGAAGGAACTTTGTGGAACTCCAGGATTGTGTGGTGTTGAAGGGAGATGGAGTTGTCTCTGTTGGAAACAGGGCCCGGATCCCCATGCCACGCACACAGACATACACCCTCCAGGGTACAGAGGTGGTGCGGGCTGCTTTGTTGATTGCATAGACGTAGACCAACCACAAAGAAGTACCAATTGCATATAAAGTTTCAGTTTGACAAGAGGCAAGGAGTTTGGCAGTTAAATGGTACTGATAGTTATGTACTAAGAATGCATTCAATACCACTGAACCGTAGCCTTAAAAATGGCAAAGATGGTCAATTTTATGTCACGTGTATTTTATCACGATAACAAAATTGAAAAAAAAAAAGAATTTGAGATTCCTTTTTTTGGTCTCAGATTCTTTCCATGCTTAAAAATTATTGAGAACTCCCCCCCCCCCCACCCCATGCAAAGCTCCTGTTAATGGGGGTTATATCTATCAATATGTTTTTTTGGATACCATCAGTTTATTATAAAAGAGAGACATAGAAATTATTTACATGACGAAAGATTTCACAACTTCAGTTACAAAATGGCAGCTTCACTTGATAGCATTACAATAATAATGTGTTTCAGTCTATGTGCTTTCTGAGAATGTCACGGTCTCTAAACAGGAGATAATCCTTGTTATCTAGAACTACTTTGGTGCCTTCATATTTTGGCAGAAGAAATTTATCCCCAACTTTCATGCTAACTGTTTGAATCCCTCCACACTTTCCTTTAGAGCCCGAACCAACAGCTACTATTGTCACATACCATGCTTTTCCCTGAGGCTTTTCTGGAAGCATAATGTGTCCTTTTGTTACAGTTTTGGCTGCACTCCTTTCAACTAAAACTCGGTCCAAGAGGGGAGGAAACTTTCTAAACGCCTGTCCTGCCGGTGACTCCAGCCAGGGCAGTACATACTCTCATCTACCAATATGTATATATTAGAAATTAAAATAGTTACATTTTAAGGGTACCTGCCTTGTTCCGTTGGCAGAGCACATGACTCTTGATCTCCGGGTTGTAAATCGTAATCTTGACCATATTGGGTATAAAGATTGCTTAAAAAAAAAAAAAGATAAAATCTTAAAATAGTTACATTTTGAGGTGTTAATTATTAATTCATTTAAAGTGACAGTGATATTCTCATTGCATGTTAACATAAATAGCCTATTTTTATGAAAAATAACTATCTTCAAAACAAAAACAATGCATTAGCAGGGAGCCTGCTTCCTCCTCTCTCTCTCTGCCTGCCTCTCTGCCTACTTATGATCTCTGTCTATCAAAAAAAAAAAAATGCAAGGGTGGCATTGTTTTACATTTTTAGAAATGTATTTATTGTCTGGTTTAATGGAAGGCAGTGGGATTCTTAGACTTGCCTCTTTCTTTAGTCTATGATCTCACATGTCATATGCTCCCTGGAAAACTCCACCGGACACTTGTGAGAGAAGGAAAGTAAACAGGAAAATATCTTAGTTGATTAGGAAAACAGTTTTGATCTTCTGGGCACTTTAAAGGGTCTTAGGAGTCCCAGGGGTCTCCTGACCACATTTTGAGAACTGTAAAATAAATCTGCAGCCATGTTAATTTTTTGTTATGATCTATGTTTTAGCTCTTTTCATCAAATGTTATCTGAACTTGAACTTCAGCATTTCAATGTATTGTTTTATCTGTGATTTCAAATGAAAGAACTATGTGGCTTCTGGGAAAAAAAAAAATACCATATTTTTCCCCCTGAGTTTATGTAACAAACAAGCAACAAAAAAATTCTGTTTGTATCATTCTATTGTTAACTTTTTCAGAAGATACCAGATTGGTCTAGTGTGTCACTATTTAGAATTTCTCTTGCTAAACTAACTTGAGTAGGAAACGCAAGACATGGAAAATTTTGAGCGTGAGAATCAGGTAAAGAAAGCCATGCTTTCCTCCAGGGTACACAAAGTTTGCTTTTTTCAAGCGTGCATTCCTGTTTACTATGGAGTCTGTCCCAAGGTGGTGCCCAAAGCTCTCTCCTGGGGCTTGATCTTGAACTTCACTCTTGGGAAGATTCCTTAGTCTTCAGAGAATCTCCTTGTTCTCCCTCCAGCTGTACCCCACCCCCTTCTCCCTCCTTTGGAAAACTTGGAAACTCCAAGAGGAGGGTGCACTTAGGAAATGAATTGGAAAAAGAGAGGTGAGAGATTTAATGCTAATAAGTCAAATTGAAAGCTTTTTGGCTGGCATTGTCTTGGGGGAATCTCATTATTTTATATATATTTTTTCATGTTGATGAAGTATAGAATTAGGCACAGCAGATAGTTCTGGGAAAATTGTTTAAAAAAAAAAAATTCCTCCCAGGGTGGCTTCTAGGAGCTGGATGTGGATGATTATGAAGCATAAAACCTTTTTCTCCTGCCTTCCAAATAAAGGATTAGGTGCTGTATGAACGATCGTATTTATTGCATTGCATCTTTTAAAATGTTAAATGAAACTTTTTTTTTTCACCCCATGAAATAGCTACTGGGGCAGCTTGCTAGAGCAGTGGACACTAGGTTTCTTGAGTTCCTTGCCAACATACTGAGGATTTATGATTTGGCAAAATTACTTTTACTTCTAGTAGCAGTAAGTGCTTTTCTTCAATTCTTTGGAAAGGTCATAATGTGTTGGGTGCTCCCATTGGGTAGAGAGAAGTAATAGCTCGTGAGGCATCTTCATCCCAGTGTCCTGGAGCCCCCCGGGAGGCCCGTATGTGAGGGCAGCTCCCAAGTGGCCTTCTTAGCTCCATTTTGAGCGGGAAAATCCTTGTCTTTTACCCTTAAGTAGATCATTTATTTAGCCATACTTCCACCCAAATCCCCCCCCCCCCCAACTTGTCGGCCATGTGTCAGACACTGATATCACTGTGTATCCGTGAGGTTGTTAAGGAACTGGGAACAGGGGTGCCTGGTTGGCTCAGTCGGCTGAGTGCCAAGTCCCGAGCTCTGGGTCTTGAGATGGAGCCCTGCATTGGGCTCAAGCTGGGTGTGGAGTCTGCTTAAGATTCTCTCTCTCCCTCTTCCTCTGACCCTCCTCCCTGCTCCCCCCCACCCAAAAAAAGAAATTGAGTGGAAGCTCAATTCCAAGGAGACATGCCTACTTTTTTGTTCCTATTTGCATTAGTTTTGTGTGTGTCTGTGCCTGTGTTTGTGTGTGTGTGTGTGTGTGTGTGTGTGTGTGCTCACGTGTGGTACATCAAAGGGAAGTGTCCTGAGAGAGGTGATCTTTGAGCTGATTTCTTGAAGACAAAAGTCAAATTAACTGGAAAAGAAGCGAACAGAAGGAACAGCTTCAAGGAGGTTTGGGAAGGAGAGTGCACTGTGGTTTGGGGATGGGGCTGAGGCAGAGGGGTTTGGAGTGGACTGGTGGATGTCAAGGCTAGACAGGTGGGCAGGATGTTCTTGCTGCCTTCCCTGTGTGCCGAACCGTTCTGAACCCCACGCTGGAGAGCCGGATCTTGAGGGTGCCTGCCTGTCTGGGTTGATCTGCAATTAGAGAAGTTCCTCCAGTCATTCATTTTTTTCTGCTGAGCATTAAGGACACAAAGATTAAGAAAAAATAAGCCCTGCCTTTGTGGGACTCATAGTGTGGTGGTGGAGGCTTCCAGGAAATTGTTCTACTGCAGTTCAGCAGGTTAGACACTTGATGGAAGCAATGGAGGCAGGCAGTGGTCGTCGGGGGCCTGGGTTTGGGGCAGGGAGAGTCCTGGGGTCAAGACTTGGTTCTGGAGACTACTATAAAGAATATGAGTCTCCAAGGGCATTCGGAGCAGACAAATGAGTGAGAAGTCAAAGATGCTTTGGGAGAATCTCAGGTAATTCTTTACAGTTCTAGAGTTTCAGTTGGTTGTGGAAAGTGAGGCTAGTGGATGAGGAATCATGTCAGCTAACATTTAATTGTGCATTTACTTATACTAAGCACAGAGAGCTTTATTTTTATAATCTCATTTTTAAACTTCATGACTGCTCTAATGTGGCATGTGATAGTATCCATGGTTTACAAATGAAAAAAACAAAAACAAAAACAAAAACAAAAAACCCAGACTCAGAGAACTTAAGTAATTGCCCAAGGGCTCACAGCTAGGGGGTGGTGAAGCTGGGACTCGGACTTCAGCACTCTGGGGCCAGAGTTTATCCTGAAGGGCAAAGGCAGCTATCAGAGGACCTGAAGACTTCACATTTTAGAAGGTAGCTTGAACTTGGGGTGGGGAACGAGTCTGAAGGTAGGGGATGGAGATGGGTCTAAGGCAGGGAAGTCAATTAGAGGTGTTTTGTAATAAACCATGGAAAAATACCAAGTACCCGAATTAAAGCAGGCAGGGAGGATAAGGGAAGGAAAGGAATCTGAGAAATGTTTGGGAATAGAGGATGAAAGGAAAATGTGGACACATTTATTTTAAGGTCCCAGTGGGACATTCAAGTGGATGTGTCCAGTAGGCCGTTGTAAGAGTCTGAAATGCAGAAGGGACATCAGGGCTGGAGATACACACCCAGCCTCTGAGCGCAATGATATTCCCAAGGCGAGGAGCAGAAGGGCAGGAGAAACCCAAGGGGTGCAGTGACAGGCATTGGAGGCCTGCAGATTATCTCCCGCATACAGATTTTTGTGATTTGGCTCACAATAGCAAAACATTAAAACCAGTAATTGTCAACATTTAGAAAATTGGGAAAGTTCACATAAAAATAAGATTTGTGGGTGTTCTTGACAAGTTGGGCGATCCGATCCCCTGATACACACAAATAAGGACCATCAGTCCCCTTTTGGCAGGGCTGGTGCTCTCCAGCTTGTCACAGCATCCAGACGTCCCCTTTTTTCATTTCAGTCACCTGCATGGCCCCCAAAAGGTATTTTATTTTGTGAAACCCCCCCACCCCAGATTTAAGGTTTGGGAAGACAAAGCAGAGTTTCACAGGAAACCAAGAGTGAGAAAGTAGTCAGAGAGGTGACATCAGTGACCCTCAGGGGCTGGGAGGTGGGCAGTGACAAATGCCTTGGGCAGGTAAGTCACGTGCAGATGAGAAGAGTGCTTTGGGTTTGGTCATCTAGAGGTGCCCTTAGCAAAAATGCTTATTGGGGTGTTAGGGCAAGAATTGCACAAGAAGAAGGAAGGGCTAGTCTAAAAAGTGATTTTAAGAAGCTGTGCTGCAGAGAGCAGTTGGGGTTGGGAGAGTTTGTTTTGTTACTTTTTAATATGGGACTGACTTGATCGGATCCGTATAAGGATGTACGAGATACAAAATAGTACTTTCTTTGTCCCCGACTCACATTTCGTAACTACAAGGAATCCAGTCTTAGGTCTGGTTGTTCTTATTAAAACAGGGTGCTCCAGGGGCCAGAATGGAGTGAGGTTTCTTGTAAGTGTGTGAAGGCAGCCCTGCTGAGTTCAGATCTCCCCAGCATCAGGTGCATTCTTGCTGGTTTGAACAACAGTGCCTGCAAATGGGCGACTGTACCTTTCAACAGCAGCAGGTCGAGTGGAGCAGGGCCCGTGTGGTGACTTACTCCCTGCATTTACTCCTGGGTTGTGCGCTGCCTGTTTCCTTATATCCCTCGGCCGGTGGGATCTGTGTGATGATCTCATATGCTAGCGTCACCTCTATTTCAAGCTCCAAGACTGGGCCTTTTCCTGGTTGGATGCCACGTACCAATTTTTCCATTTGCTTTTTTCTTTTTGTCTTATGACATAATTTGATTTAATAACTTAGTGTGTGTGTGTGTGTGTGTGTGTGTGTGAGAGAGAGAGAGAGAGAGAGAGAGAGAGAGAATTTGTCTGTCTTGTCTTTTTTTTTTTAACTTTATTTTTTCAGCATTCTAAGTTTCATTGTTTATGCACCACACCCAGTGCTCCAGGCAATATGTGCCCTCCATAATACTCACTAGCAGGCTCACCCAACCCTCCACTCCCCACCCCTCCAAAACCCTCAGTTTGTTTCTCAGGGTCCACAGTCTCTCATGGTTTGTCTCCCCCTCCGATTTGCCCCAACTCCCTTCTCCTCTCCATCTCCCCATGTCCTCCGTGTTATTCCTTA